TTAACTATGCTCTTTGCCTTTATATTCCTAAGAGGTATGGCTTCAGGAAACCGAGTGGATGTACACATAATGGTAAGTAAATACTGGTTTCCAGATCTAGTCCTAGGCAAAGGTCCTACACAATCCACCAACACTCGACTAAACGGTTCTTCAAAAGCTGGAATGGGTTGGAGAGGAGCAGATGGTATCTTCTGATTTGGTTTACCTACCATCTGACAGACATGGCATGACTTGCAAAACTTCGAAACATCCTTTCTTAGCTTAGGCCAATAAAAATGACTCAAAATCCTATTATAAGTCTTATTGATACCTAAATGACCAGCCATAGGTGTATCGTGAGCTAAACTCATGACATCTCGACGATAAGCAGCTGGGACCACTATCTGGTGAACAACACGCCACACTTCATCTGGGGAAGCATCAGGTGGTCGCCATTTTCGCATAAGGATGCCATCTTTCATATAGAAGCATTCTCCAACTTTAGTAGCCTCTTCTGATGGAAGTGCCCTCTTACTAAGTTGAATGATATCTGGGTCTTTATGTTGTTCAGAGAGTAAACGTTCTCGGCTGAGGATGTCCTTGCCTTGGCTAACTAGTGGATGCAACTCATCATCCTCACCACCAAATTTTGGTAAAAGTTCTTTCTTCTCTTGCTTCTTGATATTGTGTGGTTCCATGCTTGTTTGAGTGCCATCAAGGTCAGATAAGAAAGTGTCATTCAAATCAATATCAACAGAGGAATCTGTCTCGTCAAAGGCTTGAGTACGGTCTGCCTCCATCTCTCGTCTTCTGGCCATCGCTCTAGTAACAGCACAGGCTGGATAAATGTCATCATCTTTATCATCGCACAAAACATCTGGAGTGATTTTTTCACAAACTATAGGATCTGGTACAACTTTTCCACCAGCTAAATCGTTGCCTAGCAATAAAGAAATGCCTGGAACGGGAAGAGTAGGTCGAACACCTACGATAACAGGTCCAGTAACTAAATCTGACTTCAAACTAATTCTATGCAGGGGAACATCAATGACGCCTAGCTCCACACCCTGTAATAAAACTGACCCACCAGTAGAAGTCTGCTCAGACAAAGGAAGCACGCCCTCTAACAATAACGTCTGTGCAGCACCAGTATCTCTCAAAATCTGGACAGGTTTTATTTCGCTAGAGTCACCGAGTGAAACAAATCCCTGAGACATAAAGGGCTTATAATCCTCCATAGAATCAATAGAACTGGACTGTGAACCCTGGACATCAGGAGTGTCGGAACAAATCGAAACTAAGGCTTCTCTATCACCTCTAACTGCCGCACAAGCATGTGGTTGAGTTTTATCAAAGTCATTTTTTCTCTTAAGTTTAAAGCATTCACTAATCAGATGACCTTTTTTCTTACAATAACTACAAGTAGGAAGCGACCCTATTCCAGAAGATCCTTCAAAACGTCCTGGACTGGACTTAGAACCACCTTGGGATGGAGACTGGGAACTTGTGAAAGCCTGAGACCCTGAACCACTCTTTTTATATGTGTCTGAATTGGTAGAATTACTGCTAGTCTGAGATCTTGATACAAAATTCTTTTTATGAGACAGAGCATAAGTATCAGATATGACTGCTGCCTCTTCAAGAGTTTTCACATTCTTATCTTCTAAATGTGTTTTCAAATCTTGAGAAACACATTCCTTAAACTCTTCTACCAGGATGACTTGGCGCAAATTATCAAAAGTTTTATCAAGTTTCTTAGATCTAAACTAATGATCGAATAAATCTTCTTTCTCTCGTGAAAATTCAACAAATGTTTGATTATCAAACTTTCTATACTTTCTGAACTTTTGTCTATACGCTTCAGGTACTAATTCATAGGCTTTTAATATTGCTGCTTTGACCTTCTCATAGTCTGAACTCTCAACTACCCCTAGTGCAGAGTATACCTCAGCCGCTTTTCCAACCAGTACACTTTGTAACATCGTTGACCAAACATTTCGTGGCCATTTAAGATTCTCTGCGACTTTTTCGAATTGGGGAAAATATTTGTCTACAGATTTTTCTTGAAATTTTGGAACTAATCTGATATTTTTTGCTGCGTCAAATTCAGTTTTGATAACTGACGGTTCTGGTTGGTTTTGTAATTTTAATTTCTCTAATTCAAAGTTCATTTCACGCTCTCTCTCTCTCTCGCTCTTGTCTTTCTCTTTCTCGCTCTTCTCTTTCTCTTTCTAATTTGTCTAATTCAAATTTCCGTTCACGCTCTCGTTCTTCTCTTTCTCTATCTCTTTCTCGCTCTTCTCTTTCAAATTTTTCTCTTTCAAATCGCATTTTCTCTAACTCTAATTGAAACTGATAGTCTGCCATTTTGTAAGAGCCTAACTCTGATTTAACTGTATATTCTGGAAGATCGCATTTTTCAAAGATGTTTTCTTCTACTAGTTTGTTTGCAACCTTAATTCTAATGTCTTGCTTTCTCTGAGAGGATTTAACATCTAACCCAATATGCAAACCTAATGCGATCAAGTCATCCTTTTTTAACGTATCAAAAACCTGAACACTTGGTGAACTAAGAAAGTCTGTGACCGAAAACACCATGTTGATTTCTGCTGGCTTATAATCAAATGTAACGGTTCAATTAACAAAATTTTGACAATAAACTGCAAAAGTGCAAGAAATTCTTTATCCCGGACGAGCCCCCAATTCTGTTATGGGTCAGAATAACCCTAAATGCCAGCAAAGATCAATCACACAGTTTAAACTTAACAATAATTTATTTACAGTAATATACAAATCATTTAAAAGTACAAACTTAGCAAAAATCTAAAAATACATACATCAGAGTGTCCGTGGCTGCACACAATGTCCCAGTGAAATTATATCCCAGTAATACCTCAATGATGCTTATTCGACAATGTATATCTATGCATCGAATTGACAGGGTGTTTATACAGTATTATAAATCTAGAATATTCTAGAAGTTGTAAGTACATGATATTACTGGAAAGTTCTGGACATACACAAAGTTCAGGAATGTTCTAGAAACAATGACCAAACATGTTGACCACTCTGGAATGTTCAAGAAACTTAATGTTACTAATAATAGACATGATGAAACAATACAAATACAACACACCTCACAACAGTATATTACTGACAACAAGCTGATGAAACAAGGGGCATATTTGATTTAAAGACGAGTTGCAACGCTCTGGTCGGATTTCTAAATCAAACACCTCGAACATAACGCGCTTGGTGTAGAATAAGGTCACGAACATACTCTCCACTTTTACAAAAGTTTAAAAGAACAAAGATGGCTGACAACATTGACAAGGGGGAGGGGAGTGAGACGAGGCAGATGTTTGGTTAAGATTTCAGAAATAAATTAACATTTTAATTAGTAAAAAAGTATATTGGCTAATACTTCAGGAGAGGGGACATAAAAAATTGATTCACTCACAAATGTATTTTTGCCACATTACATCTGTTAATCATGCAATTTAGGCAGAAGAAAATAAACATTCGTAGTTTTCCCCAATATCGCCTTATCTTTGCTTTCTAAAAAAAAAGTCATCAATAAAATAAGGCAAAACAATGAATGGACATTTTCAGTGCGCTCGGGTTGTGTTCTTGCCATTTGATTAAAAAGAAACTGTGTTCGTTTGTGCGCATGCTCAATATCAACCCGACTTAACACTAGAGTTAACAAATCAAATGCTCCCAAGAATATCAGCAGTCTCGTTCAAAGTCATCTTTTCGTAAGTTCTATGGTCGATACAATGAACTTGTCAGCAAATGGAGTTTATCACTGAGTCAAATGCTGATCATTTCTGACGTTTTTTATGCTAATTGTTAGTCCATTATGCAATGTTATTTATACACTGAATTGACGACAGAATTTTCAGTTATTTCACGATCATGACAAGGAGCACACGGCGGGTATGACCGGTCGGCAGGAGATGCTCACTCCCCCATGGCACCTGATCCCACCTCTGATTTTTTGGAAGTCCGTGTTTGCTCTGATCCTATTTTGTATTTTTTTATGATTTTTTTTTATCTTGAGTTCGTTATCTCCATATGTTTCATTCCCCATGACCTATAGGTATATTTTTGTCCAAACATTGATATTATGCAAAAATTGTGAACTTTAATCCCTCCTTAAAAAAAGCTCTGTTATTTTCAGTTTTTGAAGAAAAAAAAAATTCGTCATATACACGTACATAAAATATAAATAAAAAGGATATTAAATATAAATTTTCCCTTGTACACTTGGAAGAACTCTTTTTTTTTTAATTAAAATATATTAAAGCGAAATCTAATTTCTTTATCAAAAATAAAATACATCATGTACATTTTTAAACAAAATATTGTAAATTACATAAGCTTACACAGGTACTTGTACACACTTGTAAGTTTTGTGAAGAATCGAAAACGCATGAAATATTTACAGCATATACTTATATCAATTTTCATGTATTACAGAACTTTGCCAAATAGGATCCACAATCCAACTGCAAAGAAAGAGAGATCATATTACACACTTACATATTTATTATTCTCAATAGAAAGCTTTTAAAAAGTCAAAATAATAAAAATATAAGATGTGAAAAATCCTAACAAAAATGAAATGGAAATCATTTCTTTTCTCTCTCTTTTTTTTTTGTGGGGGGTCAAATTAGCAAGAAAAAAAAAAGGGGGCACGCCTTCTGATTATTACAGTGACAGTTGTTTATATTTCAGTTAATAAGAAAAAAAAACAACTTTCATTTCGGAAATTGTTTTCTTCTTCTGGAAATAATTCATTGCTTTTTTTTTTTAAATAAACCAGTACACTAGGATAACATTACAGGGTTTTATATTCATAGTTTTTTCCTTAAAACATGAATATTATTTGTGTCGTGCAATACTTTTTAAAAATTAAGGAATTCATCTCAAAATGGTTTCTTGAATTTTTTTATATGTTGGAGGTTTTGACAAAGTTGCGCCCCTTCCGCTGCTCGCAAACCAAGCGTCGGAGTAACGCAGATGAACAGAAGCATTTTGACAGTGAGCGAGTGATTTCCGAGATGTAAATAAATATCGGTAAAATGTAGTAAATCTGGGATTATTGTGCACAAGATGGGGACACAGCGTGTCCTCTTTTATTTTTATGTGATATTTTGTGGGATCGAGCTGGACTTGATCGTGAATTCAGAGAAGATTCGTGAGTATCTTGTCTCTCTATTGTCATCGATTTTCGCCGTGTTTGAAAATTCTGCATGAGTCATGTCTTGGTTGTGGGAATCATAACTTCAGTGTTAGACTCAAGCAGCTCATTATTTTGTACACTCTATCGTATAGCCTCAGTTTACTGCATTTCCTGTGATAGAATGAACAATATATTACAAAAGCAGTTTTTGTCAGCATTGAGTCCTAGCTTAATGAAGCCCTTGTTCATGTTGTTTGAATTGTAAATCGAGGGTGTGCAAATCTACTCGATAAAACGATAGACATAATAGATCGGAGGGCCCGCACTATACATGAAAGAAGTTTTTTGGGGTGTCGGTTCATCGTTAAGTACCAGTCAATTCCATCCAGTGGTGCATGTAAATAATAAATAATATATTTTCAAATTTTTGGAATTTACGGTAAATGCCCGATTTTTAATGCATGTTTGTTAGAAAATGATTTATGAAAGATAGCAGTGCGTTTAAGTATTTTATTAATATAAACTTTAGTCTGTAAGCATGTGGTTAGTATCACCTCTACCATTCATTAAGTGTGAGGTACTTATGAATAATGAAAGTAGAAAAACCCAAACCACAATTCCAGGATGGGTAGCATGGGATAAATTGATTTCTCTTTATAAGTTTTTTTTAATCCCCACAATATTGCAGGTTGCAATATTATGTACTTTATTATGAAACAGAAATCCATCATATTGATAAACAATAGATTTCTGTCAGTTTTACTAACTACATATTATTAATGGGTGGCTCGCTTGGCACATTGACAGTGGTTCCATAAGAGCGTCTGCTCTAGAATCACAGAGTAATGAGTTGATCAGGTTCCAATCCCACTCTGGGTGGGGGGGGGGGGGGGTATCCATGGAGACGGGTCCTTCGTATGAATCCGTATAAAATGATGTTTCATGTCTTAGTAGCTGTTGGCACAAAAAAGATACCTCTCTGCTTAATGACCCTGAGTGCCTAGTAAAGGTTAAAAACTGCAGTTAAAAACTACAATTAAATTACTGTAAAATAGTAATATTTATTAATATTTATCATTAGATTTAAAATTCACATTTCAAAATCAAATCAAAATTTCTATGCTTAATTTTATTCATTATCATAAAAAATTAATATTAAGCATTATGATGTCAAATTAAGGATGAATTTCAGTTGTTCAGCTTAATATCAGTATAAAACATTGTGTATTATTAAATTATTATGGAATGATATATTCAATAATATCTCTGTTTTATAGGATTTGACTATGTTCAACTTCTACAACAAATCCCTCCTGACACCCCCCTACCTTACGAAATCATCTTCCCCAAACGAATCCTGACCAAAGGCAAGACGGCAGGGATATCCACCAGAGAATCTAAGATAGGACATCACGTAAGTTTAACCTCAGGCAAAGACTCTTGATTTGAAATGAAACTATAGCTAATTTTCAAAACCATCTACCTGACTGTTTGATTGAGTTAGTAATTATAATTATTACTAGAGCAAAGCTCGTTGCAAAGCAACGAGTAGGTCTTCCGTCCTGTTTGACCGGAAGTAGCCCCAAAATGGGTTGATTCATCTAAAGCTTAGTTAATTAATGCAAAAATAAGACATTTTTTGCTACTTCCGGTTTGACCGGAAGTGACGGCGATGGATGGAAATTAAATTTTAAGCTCTCAGAGACATATATTAACTAAAAACTTGTCAATAACGTCAAAAATTTGCATTTTTCGACTACTTCCGGTTTGGCCGGAAGTGACGACGCCGGAATTAGTTTGATGATTCTAAAAAATTAAGCTTGACATTGAAAACAACTTTGCTTCTTTGACGTATTACAAATTCTCAATACTTTTTGAGATATAAAGGAAAAACTTTCGGCCCCTCTAGGCCCTTAATTTAAGGGGTCAACCCTTTTTCCGAGATATCATTTGAAAGATCTTCTAATTCTGCACATATTATGTTCTATATATTTTAACAAAATATTTTTAGTTTAGAAAATGAAAATTAAAATATGAGTAATTTTTGGTTCTTCTAAGCGTTCTAATTTTTGACTCCTATATAGTGCCATTTTGAATAGAAGAATCGAAAAACAAAAACCGATGTGCACAACTTCAATCCTTCTATTATCTAACATCAGCAGAGTTTTTGCTCCAGCTTTAGCCGTCTCTGAGCCTTTGTCTGGAAAGAAAAGCCTATAAATTTTTGTTTAAAGGGAAATAACTCAAAACCAGAAGTGACTTTTTGAAATTTTTGACAGCATTCTGATTGAGTTTAGTAACTTCTAGTATCTCTGAAAATTTGAGCAAAATCAATTAAGAAATGAATGAGATATGAGGCATCAAAGTTGGCGTCTAGGAAGTAGAAGAAAAAAAGGAAACGAAGACCTTAAATATATATGTTCATCTGTGTATTCTGTGTGATTTTTTCTTACATAGGGGACGTACGAACACATAGAACAAGTGACATTTCAGCTCGTGGTCGACGAAGAAACTCACAAAATAAAACTTCAGAGAAACAGGTTAGCTTCAGTTCAACTGTGTAATAGATATTCAAAATAAAACGTGATGTAAGATTCACTACACAATGTAATTTTACTAAAACATCATGACTGAGGTATATATATTTTTTTTTTTGCAGTGCTCTTTTGTCCAATGGCATCAGTGTTAAACATTACCTTACCAAGAATCAACAGATCATTTCTAAGGTAATCCTGTCTAATCTTCTCCTAAATTTATAAATCTGTGCATGGTTCTTAGTTTTGTGAATCTTTCCTGACCAGTGCCTTAAGAATTTGAGTCTGTATTGGTGCCTAGATTTGTAAGTCTGTCCACAATGGTCCAAGTGCCCAAGTTTAAAGTCTGTGCAGATGAAGAATGACAAGGTCATATTGATTCAGATGAGCATTGTGGCCCATGGGCCTCTTGTTTGATCAGTGTATGTCACAATGTAAATTTAGTATAAGTTTGTACAAAAAAAAAGAAGACTGTTACACCTTTTGAAAGATAAACTTTTCTTTGGATTGAAACAATAAACTGAAGATTCACCAAAACAAAAAAAAAGAAGAAATGAACAGAATAAAGTTGGACGTAGAACCTGTGAATTTTTGAGCTGTGTTTTTTCTCTGGAGAAAATAAGGGAGCGTTTAACCAGTGATGTAGCATCACTTAAGTGTTTTAAAGCTGGCAGGAGTCCACACACACATTAAAGCTTCTCTGTGATCTACTGCACCTGAGAACACTTAACCCCGCAAGAGGTAGAAACTCAGACTAAACACAAATACTTCACTTGTAGAGAGAATCAGAGGGAAGAGTTCTCTGTGTACTCGACACATCCTCCATACTAGGAAAAAGAAAATCCACAATTTTCTTTGAATATATACATGATATACATATGATGACTGTGTAAGAATTAAGGGTAGCTCTATAACAAATTGTCATTTGTTTCTTTCAACATTAAGCTACCCCAATGGTTTATATGACAGGTAAAAGTTAACTGACTAGAAGACAATAACAATAGTGTAATATATGTTTATTCTCTAATAAATTCTTAAAATGATGGAAGTTGCAGGAATTATTTAGTTAAGTCACCCTTGACAGAGTATACATATACTTCATTCTGACTAATTGGAGAAATAATTTTACTCAGCATGCTCAGTACTGAGAAAGTTCTTTTATTTATCACATGTTTATAGATTTGTGTCCCACTCTAATTTAGTTAATAAGAACTGGAATTGATTCTTAGTGGATGATGCTGGTATGGTAATATGATGATATAAGAGCCGTACTGTAAATGTTACAAAGTCATGATTATTATATGACCTGGTTTATGCCGATGTCTACAAGCTAAGGGTCATCAATGTCTCAGGGGATAGGGGGTCTATAGAAATAAGACTCAAGAACTAAGGTCCTGGTAGTAATATCATGGATATAGTGTATTGACTTTAGCGATCCTGTATAGAGCATGAACTTAATTAATTATAAGAAGT